TCTACCCCATTCATGCTGATCTGGGGATCATCTGCTCACATGGCTGTTATAGCTTTCACAGGGCCTGCGTATCTCAGAGGGGCATGAGAGGAGAGCTGAGGCTAGAACAAAGGTAGCACTACTATTTAAGGAAAGAAGAAAAGGGCTGACAGTGAGGACCAAGAGACAGAGGTCAGGGAGGTGAGCGGAGAACCGAGGAGAGTGGTGTTACCTTGGCGGCGGGGAGGAAAGACGCTCCTGTTTCTCAGGAGGTCTCAGGGGATTGACACGCATGCATCGGTTGTGACGCCAATCAGCACTGATGTGTGAGTTTTGTCCAGCAGTCCTCAGCTGTAGGAGGATGACACTCTCACCTTGGGGTAAAGCCGAGGAAGAGGAAGATGTGCTGAATGGTCTAAGGATGAGGAAGATATTAATGCAAGAATAAGGAGGAGGGGAAAGAAGCTGTTGAAGAAGTAGATTCATGTGTTGATTAAGTTTTAGATGAGGTGGGGTGCATGGGTGGCTCAGTCTGTTAAGCGTCGGACTCTTGATTTTGGCTCAGGTCATGATCTCAGGGTTGTGAGATCCAGCCCCATGGTGGGCTCCATGCTGAGCATGGAGCCTGCTTAAGATTCTCTCTCTCTTTCCTGGCTTCTGCCCCACAACTCCCACCCCCACTCATGCACGTGTGCCCTTTCTCTTTCTCTCAAAAAAAATTTTTTTTAGATGAGGTGATACTGTGATATGAAGTAGGCAGCCAGAATCTTGGTTAACATAACTGGGACTCAAAAGTCGCAGAGTTGGAACGAATGGTCAAATCTAGCAGAGTGCAAAGTCTAACAGAAATATACACGCGTTCCTCTACTTCTCCAAGGAATCAGCAGAGGGCTGAGTGAAACAGAGACAAGGACCGCTCCGCCCTCTCTTCCCCCTAAAGTGACAAGAAATCTTTAGATAACATTTTTCCTTTTTTAAAAGTGGATTTTGAAAGAGCAATAAACTAAATCAACACTTTTCTATCCGGACATAGGAACCACGTGAAGGTCAATTGGCAGTCTTCCGCGTGAAAAATTACCTTTCAGATTTTGTAGCTGACTTCAAATTCACTGATATAATATTATGAATAATATAGATAACATTCTATTTATTATGTAGTTATCGATGTTTTATATATACAGTAGAGAGACGAGTCTTGGTCCCCAGACTCAGTTAATCCAGAAAAACAATTTTTGTAACTCAACTGAACTCTATGCTCAATCCTCCTACTGTCAGGCTAAGAGTAACAAGCTCAGGTAATTTTTGGTTTCACCCTCTTTCTGGGGGGCAGAGACAAAGGCCCTAGAGCGATTTACATGTGCCTTGGCCAGTAAACTGGGGGAGCGGGAAGCCTTCTGGGCCTCAGCCACCTGCTCGTGTTGGCTTACTCTGCGACAGCATTTGGCCTGCATCACGGCCCTTTAGGATGGGGGCCTCGCACGGATGTGTGGCTGCGTCACTTAAGGGCAGGGAAACTTTAAGTGATGGACCACTATGCTGAGACTCCGTAAGAAGCCATTTCCTAGTCAGGGTATTGCTGCTTCCCCAGGGCACTGCCTAGAAAGAAGGGCACGTGGCTCCGGGACCCGTCACTCTCTCTGCTCTCATTGCCTCCTCCCTCAGCCCACAGAATAGCCTATTCTAGGCAGGGAGTGGAAGAAATGATGTCCCTTTGACCCCTGCTTCTCCCACACATGTTGTGTTCATGTCATCTCCAAAACTCTAGGTTCCAACCCCCCACCCCCAGATGCAGAGACAAAAAGTGCCCATTGGGTATTTCTGCTTTCTGACCAGCTGCATCCCTTCCCTGAGGCAACGAGCTCAGAGTTGCCCACAGGCTTGAAAAAGGGGAAATGGCTGGAGAAAGATGTGCCAAAGTGACCATATCACCACACTAAATTCTTTATTCTTGCAGCAGCAAAATAAAACAAACAAACAAAAACCCAAACCGGATAGGGTCTTAGATATTTGCATGAAAGCGTCCTTCCAAAAAAGAAGAATCTATAATTCTGCTGCTGTTAGGCGAGGCCAGGAAGGACAGGAGAAGCCGTGGGTAGTGGTTGAAGAAGAGAGCAGCAGGGGGTCAGACCCTGAGAGAAAGGGCTCTAGATGCGAGAGTCCTTGGCAAGAATCTTAAGAAATATTAGTCACCCAAACCAAAAACTTCTCTGACACCTCAGTGTGGACCCTGTCTCCTCTCTGGAAACCTCTAGCCATGACAGGGAGGCCCAGCCATTCTTTAATTCCAATTTCTCCTTGGACTGTGGCTTGACAGGACATCTCTCTCCATCCTCGGTGACCCTCAAGGTCCTGCCCTGGGGTCAGGACTGCGATGAAACATGGTGGCCTCGGAAATTTGATGGAAGCCCATTATCGATGAACATTTATTGATGCAGGCTGCTCAGGGCCCCACAATAAGGTCTCACATGTCATAAGCCTCCAGAGGCTTACAGCCACACCGTGGAGATGTGGTGTGTGTATCATCCCAGCACAGGGTGTCCCAAATGCCCTCTGTGCCACTGCCCCAGGAGTTTGGAGAAGGGGAAGAGTGTGAAACAGAACTCGGTTGCTGAGTCAAAAAGGCATATGCACTTGTGACACTTGCATCACAACTGCCTCGTGGAGCCCCATCTAAAAATAGTGCATGCTCCATCTGCAGAAGTTCTGACCTGAGCGGCTATGCCCGAGTTCAAGAAAGATGGTTATTCTTAGACCATTAGAAGCAACGAGAAGAAAGTCTCAACTGCAACAGCATCCACAATTAAGACTAATAATATCCGTCTCTCAGACATGTGCTTTGAAGGTCAAATGGACCACACAGGTGAGACTATGTAGAGGAAAGAATGGCAAGTGCCATTCAGACGTTTACTGGTATTGTTCATTATCATCATATATTCGAGAGGCGTAGCAGGGGCATCTGTACTTTGGTCTGACTACTAAATCCAGAGGGAGGTCCTTCTCTCCAAACTGATCACCCCGGTGTTTAAATCAGATTCTGGAATACCAAGGCCACCATTTCTAAATCGCATTTAAGATGAATGCCCTACCTTTTGAGATTTTACATTTTAGAAATGGATTCAATCAGAGAAGTACTTTGATGTTGTAAATACCTACACATCAGCTCATCTAGTTTTAAATTAATCAAAATATGTAGGCATCTTCACAGAAATTTCTCATATTCATAAAACAAGGCAATGGTTATTTACTTCCTCGTATCATAATACGTTTTGGGGAAATCTCTATGTGACTTACATAAGAGGAATAAATGCTGGTTTCGTGGAACTCCATTGTTGGAATAATGAATGCCTTAAAAAATACACTGATTCAAAGCCTGCCCAGTTCGCTCCCTCAGGCTGCGGAAAGTGTGCTCTAGTGAATCTTAGAAGGGAAGAAACTTCCCTTGCCCACTTCCTGTACATTCTTTGGAGCTGGGCTTCTGGCCAGTGCGAGCAGAAAATGACTAAGCTGTTAAAAGGTTAACAGCCAGCATGGTGTTCTCAGCCTCTCTCAAAGACACTTAGAAAACTAGTCACAGGGAACTAGGTAGAAGCCAGAGAACTCCCCAGAGAGTGCACTTGAACATATTATTCCACATGATTTCATATTTAAATTGGCTTGAATTCCCCAGGCACCCAGGGGGATGTCAGGGGAGGTGAAAAAGCACTGGGCCAGGTAGGGGCAGAGCCTGAGGAGGAAGCTGGTCTGGCATTAAAAGTGTGCTATAGATATTTCCCTGTGGTGAAAAAGCCCCACAATCATGAACATTTAGACAACCAGGAAAGAGCCATGTTTCTAAAAAATGAGGTTGAACTTCCAAGTGACATATGATCGTCTCTTCCGATACGTTCAGAATCCTGTCTTACATTAGCAAGGATTTCTTGTTCTTGAATCCTTCAGAAATGGCTTTTCAAGCGTCTCCTACTACAGCCAGAAACGTTAACACACACCTACCCTGCCCTCTAGACTAAAAAAGTCCAGGGATTATGAGCAAATGTCTGGGACATTTTGGTTAATTGGAGATGGTGTCGGGGGGCAACCTGTATAACCTTTGGTTGTCTTCACTACCGTGGCTTGAGAAGATTCAGGGTTGTGTTGGAAAGTGTGGGCAGAGGCAGGGGAATTTGGAAAACATAGAAAATTGTTTATTAGCCTTGTATGTTAGTGACCTTTCAATGGCAAAAGAGAAAAAGAAGTTTGCAAATCGTATGTTTCAAATGACAGAAATACAATAAATAGAATATGCACATATAGATAATAGAGAATAGAATCTGTTTAAAATACCTTGTAGGGCTGAAAATCTTTATCAAGTTTGCTATTTCACTCGGGGATAGATCCTCCCTAGACAAGGGGGGATTAGTCACAGGAGGAGGGAATTGAATTAGGAGGAGGTGGGATAAAATAGGGATAAAATTGAACAGAGACTTGGAAGCGAGGGATTTAGACTCAGCACAGTGCGGTGTGTAGGTTTGACAACAGACCACACAGGTGATGCACTGTGCGGTAGACAGCTTCGGGAGAACCCAATATGAGGGTGAGGGTGAAGAGATTCGACAATAGACAATTTCAGGCAAGCAGCATTCAAAGGTCTAACCAGCACTGCCCTAGAGAAATATGGAATTTCACATTTTCTCGTAGCTATATTTCAAAAAGTAAAAAGAAATAGGTCAAATAAATCCTAATGATATATTTTACTGAACCCAGTCCATCTGAAATACTATCCTAGCAACACACGGCTCTAGCTAAACTTAAGTGCTCAGCAGCTGTGTGTGACAACGAACCACCCAGAAATCAGTCAGGCTTTTGGCACCAGGGAAGTCTGTCAGACCCGAGGAAGACTAGCCTCATAATGACAGATGGAAATGGTTATGTTAGCTGGTAATTCACATACATACCTTAGGAAATTCATTTAAAAATGTCCACCTCCTCTGTAATAAAAGCTATAAAAATTAGAGTATCTGTGAGATACTATTTCTTACCTGTTAAAATTGACAAAGGTTTAAAAAGTTGCAGTTGTTTGTAGGTGGGCTAAAACGCCTATGCTGCTACTAGCAATGTAAACTGATGTCAACTGATGTACACTCTTTTGGAGAACAGCTTTACATTTCATGTCCAGACCTCTGAATTTTTTTTTTTTTTCAACTTCTAAGACTCTACAACAAAAAACAATAAAAACAATCACTTATTGAGTGTTCCTTATATCACAGATAAGATGCCTGGCGCTTCATGTATTTTATGTCTTTTAATTCCCACAACAACCTTATGATGGAGCTACTATTATCCAGTTTGAACCCTATAAAAATAAACCAAAGTATGGAAAAAATTTACATATCAATATGTTCTTATAGGGTTGTTAAAAGAAGAAAAAACAGAAGCCCTTTTACCCATTCCGCCCCTTCCCCAACACCTGAAGCTAAACCTCAATGTCTCAAAATCAAGGAGTGGGTCTGTAAGTGAAACTACTCGAAGGAATTGATATAGTCACCCAAGTATTCTTAAAGAATATGTAATGGCATAGAAAAATACATGTCTCAGTCTGTTATTGCTCAATAAGGCCGCATAACAAACCGGCGCTAAATCTGGGGGCCCGCAACCACCCGCATTTATTTCCCATGCAGATGTCTGCAGGGAAGCTAGGGTGGGGCTCTGCTTTTGGCTTCAGAAAAACTGGCTTTGGTTTCAGGCTCATGTATGAGACACTGTATTCATTTTGGAGCCGAGGGCCGAGGGGGCACCTGCTACCCGGGGGAAGCTCTTCTCATGGCCCACTCCTGGAGTGGAAGAGAGCAAGAGGGTAAGAGTATAACAGCACATTTTAGCATCTGCTTGCTTCATGGCTGCTAAATTTTCCTTGGCCAAAGTAAGTCATAGGGCCAAGCCTAAAGTCAAGGGGTGGGGAAGTACCCTATGCCTGCCATGAGAGTGTGACAAGAACGTGTATACATCATTCTACTACGAGGGAATAAGGACTTGGCACCAATCATTCCATCTACCACAGTCTGGTCTCCATCACCGTTATTCACATCCTTCGCACATACACTCATTCCCACCCTGACATCCCCCCAATCTCATTCTATGATGCCATCAGGCTAGAAAGATAGCAATGCTGTATTTACGTCAACTCCAGATGTGATTCCTCTTGGTCTGGAGACGTTTCAACCAAAAAGACAAGTTATCTGTCCCCTCCCACACGCAACATATAAAAACGGAACAGGAACAAGATGACCACAATGAACACCCCCATTCTAATAGGGGAAGAGCGAGAAGCCTTTAGCAGTCATGAGTTTATAGCAATCGTGAAGTCCTGGTAGGCAAATGTTGCCAGGTTCCTGTACCCTGGGGGCAGGGAATATTCCTGGATTAGACCCCAATCCTGGTCCCTGGGAATTGCTCTCCAGACCCACCTGACTTCTCCGCAGGCTCTTGCTTCTACTCTTCAGGAGGTCCTTCTTCCCTGGCCATGTCTGACGATGGCACTGGAGCCTATACCCAGTCCAGGGGCTGGGCAGCCTTCTCGGTCTGCTTTCTGCCTAAAGGAAGTTGGGCAAGGGGGAGGAATCCAGAGGTATCTGTGTATCTCAAAGAGTTACAATCACTTTTAATTCTGAGAGAATTTTTCTCAATGCAGTGTAATTTTTCCTCCCTGTAAATCCTAGACTTTCTGGGCTGTGTCTGTTCACTCTCAGTTCTATTTGCAAACCAGCTATGTTTTGCCTGAACCCATCTCTTATATCTTATCGTACCTTTTAAAATTAGCAGTGAGCCACTTACCCTGTCCACACTGTGCCTTGAACTTGCTTGCTCATTGTTCCAACTTTATCTCGTCCATTGTCTGTCAGTTTACCGCAGGTAACAGTTGGAAAAAAATGCGTCACTACTATAGCACATGGATCAACATTTTTCCACGCTCCGGTAACAATTTCCTCGTTGCCTTCTCCCCAGTCCCAAAGCCCATTGCACATATTTTGGGATTTGTTATGGCAGCACCCCATTTCTACTAATACTTTCTGTCTTGTTCAGCAATCGCCACAATAATGCCACGTACCAACCAACCAAAAACTCTCAGAGGCATGCAGCAATAAACATTAGTTTCTCACTCCTGTGGACTGTCTGAGGCCTGGCTCAGCTTGAAGTGGAGCATCTGCTGCCTCAGCTCCTGGCCTTGCGGGGTTGGGGGGGGGGTCTGTTCTACTTGTGGTACTTCTCCGGCTGTATGAGCACTTCTCATCATGGACAACCGCATTTCAAGAGAACACATCCAACCGCGACAGCACACCCCAAGCCTCTGCTGGCATCATGATGTATTCATCACGTCTTTATTCTGTATTTTCTGTGCTTTGGCCGCTTTGGGTTTTGTTGACCCTGGAGGGACTGCTATTCCAAGGAGCTGATTCCTAGAGATAGCAAACAATAGCCTTCAGGGCACCTTTCATATGCAAACCAGTTCAGAGGCCTTAACCCCTACTATCTCCTTTATCAAGCTCTTAGGCCAGTATCCTATTGGCCTAATTGCCCCATGGCCAGCGACCAGACAACTAAGGGACAGTCTCAAGGCCACAGAGCGCATTGAAATTATTCAAACTCGCCAATCCTGCATATCTTTCCTTGCTCACTCCTTCCCACAGAAACCACAACAGAGCTCTTGTTCACATTTTCCTATCAGGCCTTTCGCCTCCTGACTGGGCGAGTGCATTCCTGCGTGGCCAGTGGTATGGCATGCCCCCTTCTCTTGAGATCTGTGACTAGAACAAACTTTCTTTCCAATGACGGTTATTTCCTTACCTGTGGGCCTTGCCGTACCTAAATAATAAAACCTATACTGACCACGAATATCCTTTTGATCAACTTAAGTCACTTGGCCAAGCTCAAAGTCAAGGCGTGGGTAAGTACTCTCTGTCTCCCAGCTTGGCAAAAGCAATGCATATTTCTATTAGAATGGGGTGAAGGATTGGACACTTTTCACCAGAGTGGCAAAGGTGTGGATGTGTAATTCCGTTAGAGGGGAGTGAGGAATTATGACCAATAATTCAATCTGCCTCGCCGTGTATATATATATGTATATAAACTTAGATAAAAAATTGAGATATGCAACATGATTTCAGATATATAAAACAGAAACTATACAGAGAAAGAAGTCTTGAAAGAAAAACATTAAAATGTTAATAGGGTCTATCTTTGGGTGCTAGGGCTGTGAATTCTTCCTCTGTTTTCCAAATCGTCTCTCATGAGAATACATTCACTTTAAAATTAAAAATGTACTATATTAACTAGAAGCTTCTAATGGAGTCTTCTAAGTATTAAACTAAAATTGCTTGAATATCTTCTGCTTAAGGTCATGAACAGCAGGGGCAAAGGGGGATTGCCATTGATTCTACCTGTACAGGAGGACAGAGACACTCCAGAGTAGGGACTCAAGCAGCGTCTGACATGGGCTGTGCTCTTTTTCTTTCCTGTCTAAGGCGCAGTGCGCAGATCCCTAGCAGTGGCATCGCCAGGGCACCTGTTAGAAATATGTACGGCCAGGGGCACCTGGGTGGCTCAGTCGTTAGGCGTCTGCCTTCGGCTCAGGTCATGGTCCCAGGGTCCTGGGATCGAGCCCCGCATCGGGCTCCCTGCTCGGCGGGAAGCCTGCTTCTCCCTCTCCCACTTCCCTGCTTGTGTTCCCTCTCTCGCTGTGTCTCTCTCTGTCGAATGAATAAAATCTTTAAAAAAAATAAAAAATAACACACACACGCACACACACACACACACACACACACACAAGAAATATGTATGGCCAGCCTTCACCCCAGACCTACTGGATCAGATCTGCATTTCAAGAGGGTTCTCCAGATGGTTTGCAAGCACGTGAGACTTTGAGATGCACCAACCTATTTCACACTGTTTGTTACAACCTCATTTAATGTCAACATATTTTTAATTCATGATTCAAAATGGTTGCTGGAAATTATTATTATAAAATGAAAAACATGCACGTAGTGGGATAGAGAGGCTAACAGACTGGCTGGCCCAAAGACCAAGTACTGATAATTTTCACACCATAAAATGAATTATTCAATCTGTAATATTTACTGTTTGCCAGTCTGATGTGGGCCCCTGTTCCAGGCAGAATAGCATCTCCTCCCCACACTGTAACACAGCTGTAATTCTGAGAGGTTAGTAAGATGTTACTAGGTGGCCCACTGGATTTGTTTCCTACAGCTACTGCAATAAATCACCACAAACTTGTGCCTTATTGCAACACAAATTTTCTCTTACAGTTCTGGTGAAAAGTCTGAAATGGGCCCATCTGGGCTAAAATCAAGGTGTTGGCAGGGCTGTGCTCCCCTGGGGGTCCTGGGGGAGACTCCGTTTCCTTCCTGTTTCCAGCTTCTACAGGCTCCTCGCATTCCTTTGCCTCCTTCATCTTCAAGGCTGGCGGGCCAGTAGAGTTTCTCATACTGCATCGCTCTTAAAAAACTTTTCTTTGGGGGCGCCTGGGTGGCTCAGTTGTTAAGCGTCTGCCTTCGGCTCAGGTCATGATCCCAGGGTCCTGGGATGGAGCCCTGCTTCGTGCTCCCCGCTCCACGGGAAGCCTGCTTCTCCCTCTCCATCTACCTCTCCCCCTGCTTGTGCTCCCTCTCTGTCAAATGAATAAATAAAATATTTAAAAAGTTTTTTTCTTTAAATTCGGGTATAGTTGACATATGATGTTACATTAATTTCAGGCAAGCGACATAGTGATTCAACTTCGCTCTCTGTTAGGCTGTGCTCCCCACGGTGTAGCTACCACCTGTCACCATACGACACTAGTACGATGTCATCGCCTATATTCTCTATGCTGTGCCTTTTATTCCTATGGCTGACTCATTCCATATCTGGAAGCCGGTATCCTCCACTCCCCTTCACCCCTTTTGCCCATCCCCCAACAGCCCTCCTGCCCTCTGGTAACCATCAGTGTGTTCTCTGCATTTATAGGTCTGGTTCCACTTCTTGTTTGTTTATTCATTTGTTTTTCAAATTCCACACAGAAGTGAAATCTTTCTTGATTTCATGAGAAATGTCTTTCTCAGTCTGACTTAATTCACTTTGCATTACATCCTCTAGGTCCAGCCATGTTGTCACAAGTAGCATGATCTCATCCTATTTTACGATCGAGGGACATTCCATTGTGTGTGTACATAGAGAGACAGATCGATCGATCTCCATCTTCTTTATTCATTCATCTACCAATGGCTACTTAACGTTGCTTCTGCTTGGCTACTGTAAATAATACTGCAGTGAACATAGAGGTGCATATATCCTTTCAACTTAATGTTTTTGTTTTCTTTGGGTAAATGCCCAGAAGTGGAATTATTGGATTACATGGTATTTCTGTTTTTAATTTTCAAAAAAGTTTCAGTTATTTTATTTTTTTGAGAGAAAGAGCGTGAGCATGGGGGAGGAGGGGGTGGGGGGGGAGAGTCTCAACACACTCCGCACTGAGCGTGGAGCCCAATGCAGGGCTCAGTCTCACAACCCGGAGATCATGGCCTGAACTGAAGTCAAGAGTCAGCCTGACTGAACCATCCAGGTGCCCCTCTGTTTTTAATTTTTTGAGAACCTGCTTTCCAGTGGCTACACCAATTTACATTCCCACCAACAGAGCACGAGGGTTCATGCTTGTATCGCTCTTAAAATGACTCTTTTCTGCCTCCCAATTCCACTTTTTTAAAAAAGGACCTTTTTGATTACATCGGTCCTCCCTACGTCATCCAGGTTAACCTCGGTATTTTGAGCTCAGTAGATTAGCAACCTTAATTGCATCTGCTACCTTAATTCCCTTTGCCGTGTAAATTTCCACGGATTAAGACATGAACATCTTTTCGAGCCTGTTATTCTGCCTACCATACCCATGAAATAGAGGTTTGGTGGTCACGTACATCTGCAAGTAATATTTCCTTCTTGGAGCTCTGTAGCGTCCATCAGCATAGCAAAGGCCAGGAGGACTCTTGAAGTAAGGAAGCCTTCTTAACTTGCACATGACATGAAGCCGAGCCGGGGAAATCCAGAGAAATCCAGGGAAAATGAAAGAACTGGTTTCTGCCCTAAAGGAGTTGAAGAAAGCTTTTTACTTTTTAATCATCTATTGCAAATTAATCCTGAATTCATTAGGGCTGAGGGAATGCAGGGCAGAAGAGTGAGTGAGAACATCTGTAGAAATCAGAAGGCCTAATTACCAGGCTTCTATTCCATTATGAGGCCCCCGCCGAGTCCCGTGGTGGTTGTCAGAGGCTGTGCCTATTTCCATTTTTATCAGTGATATATTGTGGCATTATGAATAATTTAAAAAATCTGTCCAGGTCACTTTCTTAATCTCTATAACTCTGTTTCTTATATATAAAATTGCATTAACAGTATCCCTTTCATCCGATATCACTGGGGGTTTTAATTAATGTTAAAATGCTCTTTGGCATCTATATGCAGAAGGAGTCATTAAATTTCAGTGCCAAATATTATGACGGTAGTGAGGACAACTCGCCAATATTTCATTATATGTGCAACGTTTTTCATTCATGTACTGCATAAATCGTTGGTGGCTACCTACAGTGTTATCCCTATAGCCAGAACAGCCAGCTTCTTTTATCCTTTAGATATCTTATGTTGAAAACCAAGAAATATGAACTAGAGAAAGCTGTGCCTTGTAAAAAAAAAAAAATTTTTTTTCCCAGAAGGCATTTGTTTTATGTAGCGAGCATAATGATGGCCTACAGTAAAAAAGCTTGAAAGGTCTCACTTGTTCCAAGATTATTCATGCAGCAATTATGCTATTGATGACAATCTGTTTTTATGATAATATATTATAAGCTATTCTGGATCCTCTCCACAAAGCATAGTATAATGCTTGCAGTCTTCCTCTGGACCTCTCTTACTAAGATACCCATTCACTTCCTTGATTGGAAAAAGCTAAGGAATATAGGCATTTTTAAAAAAGAAGTAAAGAACAAATCACTTGGAATCTACAATGAACTAGAACTTGTCATTTTAAAGTGAAGAATTACAAGAGAGAGGAGTTGCTGGGTTCTCTGACTTAGAGTCCAGATTATCTTATTTATCTTAGTACAAATATGTCCGAGTGAGCCTTGGAATTGTGTATATGGCCCAAAGGGAGGGGTCC